TTATTTCCCTGTGGCCAGAGAACATACTCTATATTTCTCTTTGATTTCCTGTGGTTTGCTTCATGGTCTATCTTGATGGATAGTATATGTGCATGCAAAAGAATGTTTATTATGTTTAGGGGTATAGTGCTCTATTAATGCCAACTAAGTCAATATTGTTGGTAGTGTGGTGCAAATTTTATATATTTTCTCACTGATTTTTTTTTTTAGTCACCAATGTCCAACTGTAACATTGGGTTTTATTGTCTCTCTTTACAACTTCACTAGTTTTTTATTTAAGTACCAATATCTTTTATTGATTATGCAGTTACAGTTATCCAATTTTTTGCCCTTTGCCCCTCTGCTCAGTAACTCCCTTTCCTCCAGCATTCCCCACACTTAGTTCATGTCTGTGGGTTGTGCATGTAAATTCTTTGGCTGCTCCCTTTCCTATATGATTTTTAACATCTGCCTGTCTGTTTTGTTCCTACCAATTATGCTTCTTGATGCCTGCACCATTTCCCCACCTCGCCCACTTCCCCCTCCCAGCTGATAACCCTCCAGATAATCCCCATACCTATGATTCTGTTCCTGTTCTGGTTGTTTGCTTAGTTGGTTTTTGTTTTTATTCTTTAGATTCAGCTGTTGATAGTTGGGAGTTTGTTGTCATTTTAATGTTCATAGTTTTGGTCTTCTTTTTCTTAAATAAGTCCCATGTAATAATGGCTTGGTGATGATGAATTCCTTTAGCTTTACCTTGTCTGGAAAGCACTTTTTCTGCCCTTTCATTTTAAATGATACTAGGGTAATCATAGTTTTAGGTCTTTGCTTTTCATCACTTTGAATATTTCTGGCCAGCATCTTCTGGCCTGCAAAGTGTCTTTTGAGAAATCTACTGATAGTCTTATGGAAACTCCTTTGCAGGTAACTCTCTGCTTTTCTCTTGCTCCTTGTAAGATTATCTCTTTATATTTAACTTTTGGCATTTTAATTATGATGTGTCTTGGTGTGATCCTCTTTGGATGTAACTTGATTGGGACTCTGTGCTTCCTGGACTTGGATGTCTATTTCCTTCACCAAATTAGGGAAGATTTTATTTAGTATTTTTTCAAATAGATGTCCAATTTCTTGTTCTTTCTCTTCTTTTGGCATTCCTATGATTCAAATATTGGAATGCTTGTAGTTGTCACAGAGGCTTCAAACTGCCCTTGGTTTGGGGGGGGGTGTTGGATTCTTTTTTCTTCCTGTTGTTCTGATTGGTTTTTTTTTTGCTTCCTTTTGTTCTAATCATTGAACAGTTGTTGGCTTCATCCATTATACTGCTGTTTCCCTCTAAATTATTATTTATTTCAATTCATGAATCCTCATTTTCTGACTGGATCTTTTTATATTGCTGAGGTCTTTACGAAGTTCCTTGAGTATCCCTATAACCAGTGGTTTGAACTCAGCATCTGATAGATTGCTTATCTCCATTTCCTTTAGCTCATTTTCTAAAGTTTTGATCTGTTCTTTTATTTGGGCCATGTTTCTTTGTCTACTTGTTTTGGCAACCTAGTCTTCCTGTGTTTGTTTCTATGTATTAGGTAGAGCTGCTCTGACACTGTGCCTTGTCAGTGTGGCCTAATGTAGTAGTTGTCCTGTAGGGTCCAGTGGCACAGCCTCCCCTATCATCCAAGCTGGATATTTGAGGGTGCTCTTTTCATGTGGGCTGAGCACACACTCCACTTTCAGTTTAACCTTGATTGCTGTTGGCAGATCAATGGAAGGGATTTATCCAGGCCAGTCAGCTGAAAGGATTGGCTGTGATCACTTACTACTATGCTCCATCCTCCGTGGAGGGTCAGCCGTGCAGGGGCAGAGTTGTGGTGCTATGTGGTCTGTATGTGTGTACTAGGTGCACTGGTCCTGGGGTTTCTTGGATGATGTGGGCCAAGGTAAGCCCCCACCTGTGTTTTGCCTGGGGCCACCCTGTTTAAGCTATCAAGCATTCTGAGGTGGCTACTACTTGTGCTTGGCTTGGAGATTCCTAGGCAGAGCCAAGCTGTGAATCTGGGCTAGCTGTTGCTAGTGCCCAGCCTGGAGCTCAATGCCAGGTTTTGCTTGTTTGATAGGATTTAGGATGCTGTAAAACAGGAGCCAAGACCTGCCATTCATATGGAAAAGCAGCTTGGGTAGGCCCGTAAGTTGGGTGGGGCAGAGTCTCTGGGGGTCTCCAAGGTGGGTCAAACAGTGTTAGCCAGGTTGATGAGTCTCAAATATGACACTAGCCTGCTGGCTCCATGGCTCTGCGGGGAGGACTCAGAAAAGGGACAATGGCCTCTGGTCGCCCTGAAGTCAGACATTTCAGCCTCTTACAGTATGCCACTGGTGCCCTTCAAACTGACATCCTGGTGCTGGAGCTCTGAGGACATGAAATTGAGTAGGTGAGTCCATGTATGGGTTCTTTAAGAGGAACTGTTTTGGGCTTCAGAAATTTCTAATACCAACTCCATCCCTGGCTTGGGCTTCAGAAGTTTCTAATACCAACTCAAATGTCTAGCTAATGTTTGTAGCCAGAAGTTGTGGGGACCTATTTTCCTGGCGCTAGAACCCTGGGCTGCTGTGCCTGGTGTGGGGTAGGTCTGCTTGCTCCTGAGATACTCTTGAATTTTTATCTACCCCACACAGATGAGAGACCAGCCTGTTCTCTTTCTGTGGCCCTCCTACCAGTCTCAGTGAATGTGGTTTCTTTAATCCCGTAGTTGTCAGACTTCTATTAGTTCCATTTACTTCTGTAGTTATCTATTTCTGATGGTTCTGAGTGTGGTAGTTCTATATTTTAGTTGTCATTTTGATGTGGTTGTGAGAAGAGGTGAGGCATGTGTGCCTATGCCACCATCTTGACCAGAAGCTCTTTTATTTGTTTGGGGTTTTTTTTTTACTCCAAAGACAAATCACTCCATGTATTTGTCTTTGGTAAGGGCTTAACATATAATTCATATAACATACAATTTACCTTTAAAGTATATATAATTCAGTAGTTTTTAGTATACTCACAGAGTTGTGCACTTATCACTACTATTATAGAATATTTTCATCAGCTCAAAGAGAGGTACACCTTGTTTATGGATTGGACTTTTTAGAGATTGTTCCCCAATCCTACACCCTCTTCAACCTCTTTAGGCAACCATTTATGTCATTTCTTCTCTCTGTATTTGTCTGTTCTAGATATTTCATATAAGTGGAATGATGTAACTTTTTTTGGTGATTAGCTTTCGTTTAGCAAAATATGTTTTCAAGGTTGTTTATATATTTTGAAGCTCTGTTAATAGATTATTACATATTTAGAGTGATTATTCTCCACGAATTAACTCTATGAATTTATCATTATAAAATACCCTTTTTATCTTTGGTAATATTCTGTCCTGAGCTCTACTTTGATGTCCATACAGCCATTTGAGCTTTCTTATGATTAGTGTTTGCATGTTACATATTTTCGCATTGTTTGGCTTTTCACCTATATGGTTTATTATCTGTATCGTTTAATGTAGATACTATATATCTTGTTTTTAGTCTTTGCAATGATATTCTGTCTTTTAATTGTCATATTTAGACCATTTACATTTACTGTACCAGTAAATGTGGATTTAATTTTCCATTTTACTTTTTGTGTTTTGCCTTTTTCTTTTTTTGCCCTCTTTCCTGTCTTTTTAAAGCATTCTGTTATACATTCACTATTTCCTTATTAGTGATTGCTCTAAAGTTATTCGTCTACCTTCATTATATACCTCTGTATGGAATCTGTTAAGAACCTTTCAAATACTGCCATTTATTCCCCCACTCCCATTTCTGAACTTTGTGCTAGTCATTGTTGTAACATTTGTATTTTACATGTGCTATAAATCCCCCAATATGCTACTTTAGCTATAAGTATTTCCAAAGAGAGTTTGAAAATGAGAATAAAATACCTTTCATATTTACTATTACTTGTGCTCTATATTCATTTGAATAGACTTATATTTTCATCTAAATATCATTTCCTTCAGTCTGATGAGATTCCTTCACATTTTTCATTGTGCTGGTCTTCTGGTGACAGATTCTCAGCCTCTGTTTGAAAACGTTTTTTTTTTTTTTTTTTTTTCACATTTTGAAAGTATTTTTAATTCTAAATTGACTTTTTCTTGCAATACTTTAAAGATAACTCTGTTCTTTTCTGGCTTGTGTTGTCTCTAAAGGGAAGCCTGCAGTCATCCTTATCCTTTCTCTGTATGTTGATATAATGCATGAGTTTAGATTTTTCTCTTTATCACTGTTTTTTAAAAAAACGGTTATGATTTACCTTAACCGTTTTTTTTTTTATTTATGGTTTTTTTTTGGTTATTTTTGGTTTTTTATGGTTTTTTTTTTACCTTATGGTTTTTTTTTTTATTTAGTTGCTTGGAATTTTATTCTAAAATCTGTTTTTTAAGCATTTTCTGTAAACATGTATTTGTATACTCCAAATTAAATAGGGGATATTTTAGGGTTATATTTAAAGACAAGCAAATAAATTGGTAATAATATATTTCCTTAATACTTTTTAAATGAGTATCTTAATTTATTAAGGGTTGTTTAGGGATTTGGGTATCATTGCAGTTATATACGTCTTCATTGAAAGAAAATTCTTACTTCCCCCATACTTAACTCTAATTTTTATGTAGTATTTTCAGCTTGGGCACTTAATTTGTCAAAGTATTAACCTTAACTTTAAGACAAAATAGTTTTTTATTTGTATAATTAACCAATTCACATTTGTTTTAATTTTTCACAGTATTGTTACACATAGCTATAATATAATGAAGTAAGTTGTTTTTTATCTCTTTAGGTTGAAACTCATGCATGACAATATCCCTTTGTTTAAATATGTAAAGTGGTCTGCTGATTATAATTTAACTATTTCTAAGTACTTTGGTTTTGAATGTAAACTATTTTTACTTTGAATTTAATAAGGACTTAACAGAATGAAACATTAATGGCAGATTCTTATCACATGTTCTTTTTAGGCTTAATCAACCCCGAATAACCAAAGATGTCATTTGTTTTCATGCTGAAGATTTCTTAGAAGTAGTTCAACGAATGCAGTTAGATTTACATGAACCTCCACTATCCCAGGTATATATATTTTAAACCATTATTGACCTCAGTTTAATGTTTATTGTGAAAATGACTTACTGGTGTTTCTTGTTGCTTTTTTAGTGTGTCCAGTGGGTCGATGATGCAAAACTTAATCAACTGAGGAGGGAAGGCATTCGCTATGCCAGGATTCAGCTGTATGATAATGACATTTATTTTATCCCAAGGAATGTTGTTCATCAGTTTAAGACAGTTTCAGCTGTATGCAGTTTAGCATGGCATGTTCGACTCAAGTTATATCACTCAGAGGAAGACACTGCTCAGAGTACAGCTACTCATGAAACAGGCACATCACCAGATTCCACATCATCAATTCTTGGATCTCACACTGACAGTATGATTTGTGCTGTAAGCAAAACCTCTTTGGAGTCTCTTTTTTCAGATAAACTTCATTCTAAATATGAAGTACAGCAGATTAAACATGAACCTGTTGCATCTGTAAGAATCAATGAAGAATCTGTGAATGTTTATGTTTCTGAAAAGACTAGAGCACCGAATGATATGGATGGCAAGAATGTTAAAGCAAAATTGGATCATGTTCAATTTACAGAATTTAAGATTGGTGTGGACTCCAAATTTGAAAATAGCAGCAAAGATTTAAAGGAGGAATTGTGCCCTGGAAGTCTCTTAAATCTAGTTGATACAAGGCAACATAGTTCAGCACATTCAAATCAAGATAGAAAAGATGATGCTAAATATGTACATACCATTTAAAATCCTTTTAAAAAAAACAGCAAAAACTTAATAATGTAATAAAGATTCATGAATTATGAAAGCAAGCCAAGGACTTGCTCCCAAGTCTGTTACAAAATATAGTTTATGTAGCTTTGTAACATTCCTCAGTGCCTGTCCATAACTGTGAAGTATCAAAGCACTTAGGGCCAGATGCACTGTAAACATTGCAGATTTAAAGAAATGGAGTCTTTAAAAAGTTATTTGAGTTGGAGTTGTAGGTTTTAGGATGGAGCTGACATTAACATATATATATATATATTTTGTAATATGAGCCAGAATTCTTTTTGGACAATTTAAGGCTTTTCCATAGAGCTTATTTATACTAATTTTTTTTTCATTTAAAATGTGTCAGCACTGTAGTGTAAATAGCTTTAAAAATTTTTTTAGTGTGATTTATACTGAAATGTGAGCCACTTAATAAAGGTTCATAATAAATAAGTTTTCTGTCGGGTATGCAAAAAGACAAAGTGAAAATTCAGTTAAATCACATATTTGATCTCATGTGTCTGCTGGTGTATCCATTTAGAGTGGTAAAGGAGTGCAAATGTACATATTCAAATCTCGTGAATATTTAAATTCCCCACATTGTGCAAGCATTTTTTAAACTAAGATTCAGTTATAAAAGCATATTTATATATGTGTGTGTATGTATGGGAATATATATGTATATCTTATTTTACATAACTCCTTGAATTGCTGAATAGATGAATATGTGAAACTTCCTAGCCCTACTCCCTGGCATACATTTTAAAATATTTATAATCAACATTAAAAAGGCAGTTTAGGTAATAGAAAGAATTTTGTAAAGTTGGGCAAATAAAGGTCTCAGTGATATTTAACCCTTCTAATTAATGAAGTTCTGTGGACAGGCTACATTGCCCCTAACGTAAATTTTCTTTATAGTGTATGCAATGATATGAAGTTGAGAAAATTTTCTTATTAATAGGCACATTTGTTATACTTAATAGGAGCTGAGTAAAAAATACAGAAAATTTAACTGTGAGCAGTTAAAATCCTTATACATTTTTCTTGCACCACAGGAAGGAAATACGACAAATATAAAACCTTAAAATAAGGGCAGTGACTCAAACAGAGATGTAGCTAACAAAATATGTTTATCTCTTGTTTCTAAGGATCCCTCTCTGCCTACCCTAGCAAGGTAAATAAGGGTACAGCTGATCCTTAAATGATGTGGGTTTGAACTGCACATGTCAATTGAAAAAAACCTGTGTGTAAGCGGGCCCACACAGTTCACTTGTTCAAGGGTCAACTGTACTTCTTTTTCAAAAGAAGCTCTACAAAGTAAAATTAGGGTAGAAAACAGGATTGCCAGTGCCTAGCTAAAGAAAAACAAATGTCTTCAATGATGGACTTTTCAGCACTATTTTAGCTGCTTCCACTACTATAATTAAAAGTCAAACAAATGTCTTTAATGTATTCTTTGATGTAAGGAACTCTGCTCATTGCAAATCTTTTTTATTTGTCTTTGTTATTTTTCTGGGCTTATACTTTGGTTGATGACTTTCAACCGGGGCTCTGTGCTGCCATTTGGACTAGAGTTGCTATTCCATTTCAGTAGTTTCTGCTCTAGCTTCATTTGCGGACCCATAAAACACTTTATCTTTCTGGTTAGGAAGAAGCCACTTACAGGCATTTCATCAGAAAAAATAAACTGTAGCAATGATGTCATTTCTGTTCCCCAGTTTAAAAAGGGTAGGCACATATTAAAAATCTCAGTGGTTTATAGGAAGTCAATATTTGCATAGGAATTTTTATGGAATAAGAAATCATGATATTATAAATAGGGACATTCTTTTATATCTTACTGTCTTACCCTACTCCTCACTTTAATCTCTTTAAAGCTAAATTTATGTATTTGCACCTACTATTTCAGGAGACAAAGTTTGTAATAAAGCAGTATTGAAAAATAGGGGGGGTTTCTTGGTTTTCTTCTTTTAATTGAAGGGTAGCATATTTAACAAGATTTGTCTGAGTTCCAATTTTCCAGTAGCATACACATAGATACATAAGATCATACTGCAATAAAATATATTTAGAGTATCCCTCCAAAATATATGAGCCTTAAACTTTTAAAGATATATCTAACAACAATAGCAGATAGTTTTAGTTATTGTTTCCTATGTAGCCTAGAGTCAAACCTCTCCATCTTTTGAAAATGTGTTCTGTAAAATGCTTACATCCTTCTGGATATGAAATATAAATCAGTGTGTTCAGATTTCAAGATAAAGCCTTGTCACCTTGAATAATGCTTAATGTTCCTCATTTTACAGGTTATAATTTTAAAATCCTCTTCAGATGCAGTCTTAAAACTTTTTGACTACCTTTTTACACACAAATAATGTTTCAATATTGCATTATGTTGATGGTTTCCTACGTAGTACATTCCAGTTCTTCATCTGAACACACTTTTTGTTTTGCTCTTATTTCCAATTTCTTGGGCCAGAACAATCAAGTGCTTAAAATACACAGTTTCTATATGATCTTATACTATATAAAGAGTTCTTACATAATTTATTAATTGATACACAGACCTTTAAAAAAAAACGAAGGTACCTCCTTGGTGTCTGTGATAGTACTTTTTGTTTTTTAATCACTTTTGTTCATGCCCTTTAACTAAGTGATACATATTCCATACTCAGGTTAGCTAGTTAGGTAGCAAAATAATTAAATATTTGTGATAGTTGAAAACTTTACAGAAGCCATATTCATTACCTTCCTTGTCACTAAGGCTATTGACCTTCAATTAAGATTAGGTTAATGTAGCACAACATTCTTTCTGTGTGTGCATGTGTGTAAGATTATTGGAAATAATGTTTCCACACCTATTCATTTTTAATCCATTCTATAACTTTGGGGGGTGGTCTTGGAAGGTAGAAAAAATTTTTTGTCTTGGGTTAAGCCTTCAAGGTATTTCATTAGTATTCCTGAGTGTAAAAGTTTTTTTTTCCTCCTTAAACAGATATGGCAGGTAAGATAATTTTTGTAAATAGATTAGCACTATTTTGATAAGTTGCATTCAGTTATTTTTTGGACAAATTCATTGTCATGTAAAGCAAGTATCTCAATTCATTTTACATTTAGCAAAGGTGCAAGATTTGTTTTGGAGTATGAGAGGAATTTTTCATGTCTTCCACCTTTCAATAAATACTAAAATTGATAACCAGTCTTTTTCCTTTTGTTTTGTAATTAATTTTTTACATTTCACATTTTCATCTCATCTTGTTTTTCTTCCTTCACCAGAAGCCATAAATAAGGTCCTGGAAGTGATTCCAATATGAAAGTCTTTTTGTCCTCTTAACTGATTATCAAAAGTTAACTTATGCCAACAGGAAATATTGAGGGTATTACTTTAAACAAATTTGTTAAACTAATTAGGTATGGATGCTGGGATGTCATGGTAAATAACCTCCCTTCCTTCTAAACAGAACTATTTAAAGCTCAGGAGGGGAGGACAAAAGTCCCATTGTTTTGAAGGTATTTTTAAGCTGATAAAAGTGACAGGAAGGATTTTAGGTCTTCAAGAGTAGCTTTTATTTAATCTTTCTTCCATCTGATAGTTACAGTCATACCTCGGTACTTGTGGGCTTCAGAACTTGTCAAACTCTGTACTTGTCACAGTTTTTTCAAAAAAGATTTTATTGAGACAAAGAGGGAGAGAAACATTAATGTGTGGTTGCCTCTCGTGCACCCCCTACTGGGGATCTCCAGCAACCCAGGAATGTGCCCTGACTGGGAGTCAAACTGGTGACCCTTTGGTTTGCAGGCTGGCATTCAATCTCCTGAGCCACACCAGCCAGGGCCATTTGTCACATTTTGACAAGAAAAAAGATGTTTCAGCACTGGGTACTGCTTGGGATTTGTTGCAATTGCTAGAACTTGGGTGAGTCACCATGTACCCTGCAAGAGAAAATGCTTCATCACTTGTCACATGTTTGGTATTCATTGGTTTCAGTACTCATCAGGAGTTCCAGAATGAATTAATAACTCCAGTGGAGTACCAAGGTTCCACTGTACTTTGATGTGCCAACAAAATTTTTGTGGTTTTAGAGTATGTTGTGTATTTCATGAGTTACATTTGGTATGTTTGGCACAGTATAATTCAGATAATTAAGAGGACAACTCAGGAGATGTATAAATCCCTTTATCTCTGCCCTGGCTTTTCTGTTCAGTTCTTCCTATAACCTACTGCACACTGCAGATGGAAATGATCACTGTTTAGAATGCCAAGCACAAGGAGGCTAGCAAGGAGGTCTATTCCTGTTTTAAGTTGATAGACATTGTATATTGTATCTGTTAGGAGAGCAGGAAAAGGAGAGCAAACCATCTTGCAATTCAGCTTATTTTCCCTTCTAGGACTTGGACCCAATCAGAGAATATGAATGAGCTGAGGATAACATGTGGGAAAACAGAATTTATATTAAGTAGAAATAAAAAATAAAATGTACTAGTTGTATGCTTTATCACTGTTATCCGCCTTCCAAGAAATGTGCTATTAAAGTATGAGACATTCTGTATATTTAGAAATTTAGAACTTGTACATCCTTTTTTAAAAAGATTTTATTTATTTATTTATTTTTAGAGAGAGAGGAAGGGAAGGAGAAAGAGGGAAACATCAATGTGTGGCTGCCTGTTGCACGCCCCCTACGGGGGACCCAGCCCTCGACCCAGGCGTGTGTCCCGACTGAGAATTGAACAGGTGACTCTTGGGTTTGGAGGCCAGCACTCAATCCACTGAGCCACCCCAGCCAGGGCGCATCCTTGTTTTTTTAAATGTTAAGCCTTTACACTTTTCTATAAAGTTCATTGCTGTTCATTAGTACTTTAGACTACAGGTGTTCATATTCAGAGTCAAGTTAATATAGTTGAAAATATTTTGAGTAATATAGCACTTATAGTTTTATTTGGACAGTTTGATCTCTACCTCAGGTCTCTTCTTCCCTTGAAATTTTTTGTTTTTAACCTAGCCGGATTTTTATATGGAAAAATCTCAGGTCTGTCTTCAAAGAAACCCTTCTGTTGAGTTTGGCTTTTGTTTATGTTCTTGTTTCATCCCTACTCCTGATTGACAAAAGTTTTTGAAAAATCTGCCTGCCTTCACTTCCTCATCAAACTACAGTTTCATTTTAATCTTCAAATTTAATCACTAAGCTGAAATGTTTCAAAGGCCACCATTTGCCAAATCCAGTGGGTACATTTCTTACTTCTTCTGTTTAACCCTTGTGTTGTCATCAATAATTTATTCCTTAAGACTGTATATGAGCTATTTGTTTGTTCTTTTTTGTTGTTTTTCCATTTCTTTTTTGGTGGCTTCTTTTGCTTCTCCACCACTAGTTAAAGTAGTCTCCATGGTACTTACCTTTAGGTCTCTACACTTGGTCCCTGAACAGTCTTCATAATCCCATGACTTAAGTCAGCCTCCGTTCTCAACTAAATTCTAATGATCCTTGTAATCAAATCTAAACTCTTCTCTCTTGCCCCCAAACTCTTCTCCTAACATGGTTACTGGCATCACTGTTTCTCTACAGTCTTTTCCTAGTATTCTGATTTATCTTTTCCTCTGTGTACAGTGTATCATGAGATTTTCTTGAGTTGACTCCAGAAATGTTTATAATTTTTCTACTCCTCTTGTAGATGTTCATCTCATCTGGACTTTTAAGGTCATCTAAAATGTTCTAGCTGCCTGCAATCCTCAGTCCCAACCCCCCATTCCAATCCATTCTTTTAAAAAAGTTGTAGTTGACATTATACTAGTTCCAGGTACACAACACAAAGATTTAATTTAACACATACATTACAAACATCATTACACTAAGTCTATAACCATCTGTCACCTCAATCCTTTGCTACCACTAGATTAACCTTCCTAAAATAGATATGATTGTTACTCTTCTGCTCAGAAATATTCCAAGGCTGCTTTCCTGAAATAAAGGCCAAATGCTCAGCATAGCACTGAAGAGCCTTCATGATGTGGCCCCTCCTTTTTAGCCTAATCTGCTACAATCTCTTTTATTTGATGTGCCTAATTTTCAGCTTTAACAGATGGCAATACTTGCCACTCCCTTTTTGTACTTTTAAAATTCTTTGCCTTTGCTGGGGGAAATCTCTGCCTGGGATACAGCATAATGAAATCTTCTCTTTTCAAAATTCCAGTGAAACATATCTCTATGTATCGTTTACTGATTTTATCTCCAACTGCCCCCTAACTCCACGACTGGTATAAAACCAATTCTTCCCTCTACTTATTGTATCTCTTTGTGTATTAAGTACATGTTGGGCTCTAACTAAACAATGAAGTAGACTTACAAATTTTCTTTTTCCCTTTGTACTCAACACCTAATATATAGTGCACTTGATATTTAATAAATGTTTGAAGGAACAAAAGTTACTTTATTGGGGATGGTATTATAACGTAATTCTAGAATTACAAGAAGGAAAAGCTGAGAAAATTAGATCAGCAGGCACTATAAAGAAAACGAATTTCAGCCCTGGCCAGGTGGTTCAGTGGATTGGAGCATTGTCCCAAACACCAAAAAGTTGCGGGTTCAATGTGGAGACCATAAATATTGTACTGATAATAAAACCTATAAAATTTACCCAGGTTCCCCCCCCCTTCAGCTAGTGATACACTGAAATTTATTACACATTAAGAATTAAAATTTAAATAATTAAATGGCAAATATGTTAGAAGCACCTTAGTATTTCATAATTTAAGTGAAATTTATTCCTAAATCTTAATTGCCAAGGTAAAATCTGATTATTTGATTAACAAGTATTCTCAACTTAGCTTGAACATACTGAAAGAACATGGAGTTGTTGTTTTAGTCTATGGTATATTGGGTTGCAGAGTGAGACAAGGACATAAAGCGGCACATTTTCACAGACATCCTTCTGTAAAACCACGTCACTGGGATATGCTGAGGGAATTTGTAGCAGTGGGTTGGGGGTCATATACTTGTTTAATTACTTAGTCTGTATTAGTCATATTTAAGTGGGGAAATACTTAATGGGTGAAAATTAAATGACAACATGCAAATGACTACTTAGCACATTGCTTGGCATATCCTAAATACTACAGATGTTAGCTTCTGATCCTGGAATTAACGCAGTAAAGAGAATAGAGCTGTGTGCTGTGTCGCCCTAATTTCACATCTTCCTCACTGTCTCTTCTATGTGTTCTCCCAAATTTTGGGCAGAGGATAGGCATCTGGGCAGAAAACTTCATCAAGAGTATGGTGGAGAGGTAAACATCAAAAACAAACTTCTTTTTTTGCTATTTGCCCAGGGCTAGAAATACAAAATCATGTCTTGTCACAGACCACTTTTTTCCTCATATAAGTGAACTACAAATTTGTAGTGTATAGATGATAGTTGTAGCAAATTTGCTGTGTGGTATGATTACCAGTGTGATTTAGCTGACTTAAATACAAGGCAAGTAAATGAGAGCAAAACATTCAGTGTGCTAGGTAGATCCCTCTCATAAAAGCCTTATCTTTAGCTAGCATTTGAAACCTATTTATGGAAATAGTATTTGTAGTTAGATGGCTCCATTTATCAATGACCATGGGCTAATTTCACTTACCTGGGCTTCAGTTTCTCCATCATTATAATGAGGAATTGGGTACCCCCCCTCAGTTCTAATATTCATAATTCCTGAGGGAGAGTGATATTTACTGTGCAAACATGACCAATGAGAATTAAAAAACTCCTTTGGTAATATGTGTCTTGTTTGGCAATGTAATACTAAAAAAACTCTGATTTGTAAGGTTAATAAAATTAGAGAAAGCTTTAGCTCTGTATGTACTAAATATCTATTTAGTTATTCATTTTGCTATTTTCTACTTTTCAGAGTTTCGAGTCCTTTAAAAAGTTACTTCTTCCCAAGTTGCTTTTACTTGGACTTTTTGACAAATCTTTTGCCTAAGCAAGATTATATTATTTCTGGTCCATGCTGATCTGCTAAATAATGGCTTCACTAAGAACTTTTCATTTTTCAAGTTTCTTTCTTAAGGCAGTGTTAGTTCTTTTTATAAACACCATTAACAAACATCTTTATTATAAAGGAAGCATCCTATACCTAAAACATAGGAAGGCATTTTTCTGCAATATTAATTGTTGATATATTCTAGATTTGCTTTTTTCCACCTGTGAGCATAATCTCTATCCTTTATGTATTTCATTACTTAATGTTTTAAATGTATTCCAATTATTGAGGCTGTGAAACCGATTACTATTAAATGTACCTGGTCTTCATCCCCCTTCCTAGCACAGTTTAATGCCCTTGGAATTTCTTCTGTGGTAAGTGTGATAAAGGTGTCATTTGACCTTATGTAAATAAGGTGACTTAGAAAGCTCCTAAGTAAGGATGGGGGCTGGTTGCCAGGGGAACCAACCCTATGATTAAAGGGCTGTAACTTTTCAGTACTCCCTTCATCCCCTCTAGAGGCTGCAAATTGAGTTGTCATGAATGAGCAGTGATTTAACCAATAACTATGTACTAAAGCCTCTATAATACCCAAAAGGACAGGGTTTAGAGAGCTTCCGAGCTACTGAACAGGAGATGGGGGAAGAATTGTCTCCTAGAGAGCATGGGCCTCAGTTCCCCTACCCCATACCTTGCCCTATGCATCTCTTCCATCTGGCTGTTCCTGAGTTATATCCTTTTATAATAAACTGGTAATCTAGTAGGTGAAATGTTTCTCTTGAGTTCTGTGAGCTGTCATAGCAAGTTAATCTAACTTGAGGAGGGGGGTCTTGGGAACCTCCAATCTATAGCATATCAGAAGAAGTACAGAAAACCTGAAAGTTGGGTTGGCCTCTGAAGTCTGAGGTGGAAATTAATCTCTGGGACTGAACCCTTAACCTGTGAATGGGATGCTATCTTTAGGTAGACAGTGCCAGAATTAATTCTTTGGTGGTGTAGGAGAAAAAACACATCTGACTTAGTGTCAGAATCAGAGGCACACATCAGTAACTTATTACTGTGGTTTAAAGTTTAATGTGGCGATATACCAAATTAAGAAAATAGTTATGCTGGTGGCCTTTTACATACAATTCTTACCCAATTCCCTTGGAGACCTAGCTCAGGGGTCAGCAAACTACTGCCCACTGGCCATAAATGGTTTTGTTTTTGTTTTGGGGTTTTGCTTTTTTTTGGTATGGACTGTGAGGCAAGAATGAGTTTTAAATAGCTGAAACAAAAATAAGATGTTTTGTCATATGTAGATATATATGAAATTTATATTTCATTGTTCAAAATAAAGATTTATTGGAACATAGCCATTTGTCTATTGCTGCTTTCTCACCACAAGACCTGAGTAGTTGCAACAGAGCTTCAAATATTTACTCCAAAGCCCTTTACAGAAATATTTTGCTGACTCCTGGACTAGCTGCTTGCATGTAGGCTTTCCTTTTCTTGTGAGAGATTATATTTAGATAATATGTACATGTATATAGTTTTAACTGCACTACAAAATCCTCCTACCCAGCAAAGTTCTGCACTGTTTTAATATGCCCCCTCTAATTTATTTCCAAACAAAAGTCAATGGTAACAAAGAACTTAGCCTAGAGCCTAGACAAAAAACTGTCAAACTGATTCTTCCTGAATGTAAACATAAAGTAACACTCCCTCATTATTTCAGTAACTAGTTTTTCTTCGTTCGTAATTATTTAGAAGCACAAATGACCATTTAATTGGTTGTAATGGAGCCACGACATTAAACTTCCACCCAAATATGTAGGTTAAAAAGTTACTTTAAATATTGATCCATCCTTACAACAGATTATTTAAAAGTCAAGTAAAAATATAACATCCAAAACCAACTTTATTTAAATAAGGATAATAAAGATATTAATAACTCAAATATTGAATAATTAAGCTTTGGGTTGACTAGAAGTCCATGATTCACCAAGACTATTTTATGGAAGCAGTATAAAATACATTTGGTATTTTTCTCAGTTTTCTGGTATTCTTCAAGCTTGCAAAGATTTGGAATACTTTAATGACAGCTTGTTGAACAGCAATAAAATAAGATGATGTCTTTAGAAGTCAGTCTCTCACAAAAAAGACATTATAGCCAAGCTCTATTAAAGCCCCAGCTAGTAAGGTCCACAAAGGAATGAAGACATAGGACAGATTCATGGTAGTAAACTGTTCCAGTTTAGCACAGAGTGCAAGGCAGAAGGCTAATTTAAGTAACATTGCAATGAGGTACCACGTTTTTTTTTTAATATTGTGTGATCCATGTCGAGGGTCAAAGCCCGACTTACATCGTCCAGCCATTTTCACAATCAGCATGACCAGTAGAATAGTATCAAATATCCAGACTGGAATAAATATGAGGAACCAGTTCCAAGGTGCCTTCTCATCCAGTTTCAACACCAACATGATCAAGAAGAGTAATGTGAAAAGCCAGGTGAGTAGTACTCTCTGAGCCAAGGACATTCTCATTTAAACAGTTTAAAAAGGCTGTTGCCAACGTCGAAAAATGGGAAATATATCCTAAGAGAAGGAAAGAAGGTCAAGATGGTTTTGATACCAGTAAAAACAAAACAAATCACTTCCATTCCTGGTGAACAAAGCTGGCTCTTTCTCACAGATTTCCTAATTTTGAAAACATTCTATTCTTCCTTTAAAAACTTGTAAAATTTGTAGCCATCTTTGACAGCATTATATCCATTGTTCCTTTTAGCCCATGACAATAAAATGTTTAGTATACCCCCCTGCTATATTGTTGCTTTTCATTGCTATCACTCAAGTCTAGGCAGTGATGACTTTATTCCTGCATCCCATGCATATTCTTAACTTCTTTTTGTACATTTGCACATCTACAAATTTTCATTCAATTTCAAGGGCTACTAAGAAAAAAACATCCAAAATCAAATCAGTGAGAAAGGAGGTGGTATCAAGTGAAGAAAGGAGAATTTTAGTAGAGAGGGAATGGTTAGTAAAAAGACTTTAAGTAGAATTAGGATTATAAAGAGTTCATTAGGCTAAATAATACAGAACACATTGATAATACTACATTTCCATATAGTCTGTGGATCTTATATTTTTAAGTTAAATTTGCTCACTTTTATAAATACCTATTTTAGTCTAGTTCTTTTATAATTTGTTTTGTGGTATATTTTTTTTACTACTTTCAATGATTAAGACCACTTAAAAATGGACATTTTGTGGTTATTAGATGCTACATTACTCAGTAATTGGGGCTATTTTTTATATCTCTATTCTGTCTTACCACTGCTTATTTATTTTGAATTAGTACTCCATGACTTTTAATGGATATGTTCTAGAGAATACATTCTAATATCTGGACGGCCTAGAACCTACTTACTGTTTTCTTTTCCAGAGTATTTTCTGTAATTTTGTCCTTTCATTTTTCCACTAATTCTTAAAAACTTAGAATTTAGATTGGGAGGGCATTAATCTATAATACTTAGTTATAAACATTTAATCTTTACATGTAAGTTTGCAGTATGTACTTTATATATTCCAGTTTTTTTATATCAAAAAATCTTGTGACCACTTGGAAAAAAAGGTAAGTAGAATGGGAAGTCAGAAGATAGACTCCAAGCAGTGGGCTGAGTCAATAAAAAGTAATACCAGCTGACACCACTTTATTCCCCCTTGGAATATTTGAAAAAGATGAAAGATAAGACATATGAGACTTTCACAGTCTTTCACAGAAGAAATTTCCAGTAAAGGAGAAATCTAAGTATGATTATGAACTCAGGGATATAACCACTGGGGAGTGATACCTGTAGATGGAAGATGACATTGGAATACCTGAAAGAGGGAAAGATCAGATAGTTGTCATGGTAACAGCAGTTGATACAAATAAAAATGCAGAAAGATAAGGAAAAGGTGAAGAGGGGGCTAGATGAATCAAATGCCCTTAACTAGCATGTTTAATAAATTATATTTTAGAAATTTGATGTTTTCTGCTAGATGTTTGATTTTCTGCTAAAAATTTGATGTTTTCTACTTTAAACAGTGGGTGGTTACCATGGTGCAAGAGATATTCTTATTTCAATAGTGCCATAGGACAAACTCCTAACTTCCCTTCCCATTATACCTATCTGCTTGTACTCAACTTGTTTACGTAGCTGGCAAGTGCTTCATATTGCAGTATGAAAAGCGGATGCTCTTGGTTTACTGTGCTGGTGTCTTTTCCTGGCCAGAGGATGCCATAATGGGATGTGGGACTGATCCTGGACAAAAGGTGGAGGGGTGTGTACTGATTAATGACCACAAATGGACTTTATCCTGTAAGTTAAGTTTGTTCAATCCATATCTCTACCAGGCATTTTGTGAAACTCTCAAAAGTTTACAATAATGTACTTGCTTATACATAACTTTTCCATCAGCTATTGGATGAATCAAGCTTCATTTTTTTCTTATATAGGGCTGAGTAGCAACTAGTCATAAGAAGAGTAGTTGCCCTCAACACAAGTACTTTAGGCCTGGAGGTGGGAAAGATGAAAAGGTCAAGCTTGTGGCTGTTAAGTTCTATAAAGTGGGAGGCAACAAAGTTCTTCATGCACTTGTACTAAAATGCCCTCAACCAGGGAGCACTCTGTTCATACTGTGTTCCTGGACAATGTTTATATGCAATCCCAATTTTATTAATTTATTAACGTATCTTCATTAATTTAGACAGTCATATTTGCTTCCCACTACTATTCTTTCTCAAAGGAGGGGTTTGCACACTCCAAAACAAAAATTTGCTTAACTTAAATATTTCCTGTTTGAGGGGGTTATTTCTGATACTTTGAAGAGAATTAAGTATTAGTTCATATGCTTCCTTATTCACTGTTAAAACTGTGTTGCCCCCAAATGAAAAAAATGAAGGGCCCTGCCGATAACTCCAGTGTCTCGGTGTCAGTGGTCTGTAGATCCTTAGTGCTTCCCACACCACCCCCGTTTCCCTTCTCTCGCTACTGCCATGACTCTTCCAAGTGAATTCGCTTCATAGCAAAAACTGCTGTTTAATGAGCCCACAACACAGCACTCCTCTAAAGAGTCGCTTTTGAAAGGCCCCTGCTGCTACATCCTTGGCCAACTTACCAGTTAACTATCCTTCAAAGGAATAGCGTTCTGTTCATAACTCATCTGCTTTTCGCGCCTACTTGTCCCTAGAACTTCAAGACGTTTCTAAACTAGCCTTGTCCTTGGTCTTCGAAGGGCGGAGGTCAGCTCTATGCGACTCACCCCCCCACCCCAATTTTGCTCTGTGGGCCAAACACAGTCTGCAGCTGAACGCGGTACTAGAAAGAGATCCACAATGCACACAAGCCTGGTGCGTTTGGGGCTGGGAATGGGAGGGGGTGGGGAGCGGCAACGGCACAGTCCACCCAGGCTTCTAGAGGCCCGCGAAGGATGTCAGCCCACCGGAGCCCGAGACTCACCTGGCAGAGCCGTGGGCCAGAGAGCGGAGAGAGGCGCGAAGATCAGTGAATTCGCCAGTTTGGATCCTTGGCCTACTCCACACTTTCCCCCCCATTAAATCCAGAACCCGTCACATGATAACCAAGAAAACGATCTCAGCTCCGCCTCTCCAAACAACTGCGGTGGAGGACTTCTCACAGCTACCCCAGGGCCGCGCCCACATCCGGGGAAGGTTCTCGCCGTCCCCGGGCCTACCCTATAGGTAGAGAGGACGTCAATCTGCGTTCAGAGGCTCCTTTCCCTGCGGTAATTGGACTTTTGGCCGCCAGTGGAAACCACCCGACCTTTCTTAACGTTCGGGTTTGTCAAAAGGGCGGCAATATAAGAGGCCACTTGCCCCGCCTCCCTATTGCTACGGGCTAGAAGGAAAGTCAGTCAAAGTACAGCCTGGAGTGTCCGTAGCCCCATTGGACAGACAGATGCCAATCAAACTAGTCAGCACTTGGATACGCCCCCGCGGGGCGCTCCGCCCCACCCGAGGTCCTCCTCAACAGCGCGCCGGGACTCTCGGCTCCGACGCAAAATACTGCGGGAGAGGGGGTGGGGCGAGGGCTGGAGAGGCGACGCGCCCGCCGGTAACCTCCGTTTGAGTTCTCGGTCTCTCTCGGCGGTGCCTGTGCTAGCCTCGGCTTCTCCAGCGCACCCCAGCCGCCTCCTAGCGGCGCGGCGCCCGCTCCTAAGGTGAGAGCCGGCATCACCTTCGCGCTTGGGAGGGCCGTGTATAGGTCGTTGGGTTCTGACAGAATCCAGAGGATGCAGCAGTCACGGGAGGGACGGAGGTAGGGGCTTCAGGGCCAACGAATAATAGCCCTCTACCGCCAGTGACTTTCCAAGCAGCCGCTGGCACCTGCATGCCGTGGTCAACCGCGGTCCCGTGCCATCATTTGGCGGGCTGCAGCGGTTCAGCTGCCCTCCTCCCGAGCCATCGCTGCCTTCGATCCTTAATGGTGGGGGGCCGAACCCCAGCCTCGCCTTCCATCCCTTCGCCCTCTCCCGCGGCCCCTCTGCTTCGATTCCTTCCACTTGTGCTGTGCTCGGGGTGCGTGGGGTCCTGGAGGGCGTGCAGCGGCTTTGGTGGCAGAGCCCAGGCCGGCGGGGAGCGGGCTCAGGAGGAGGGGTTGACTGCGCGTGCTGTAAGCAGACTGGAGGGAGAGTCGCTGCCCTGCACCCACTGAACAGGCAACAGTTTGGTTTTCTGATTCCAGCCCTGAACCAAACGGGTGCTGAAATCCTTCGCTCCGTCCTTAAGTGATATTTCGCATCTGGAAATGGTACGGCAGTACATCAGAGTGTTTCATCTTTTCTTATTTTTATCTCTCTGTTGTTGACAGTGTACTGGTATTGTCCCTTCTAGTAGGGGATTTTCTAACTCAACACCTTCTCTATAACTTAGGGGATCATTTTTAGCCTGGCTCAACGTATACTGAGTAGGAAAGTACAGAATCTAGGATAACTTATTAATCTAAGTATCTAAATAGCAAATAATTATGAAATTCATTGTAAATGTATTAAATATTTTGTATTTACACTTGTTCCTTTTGTTAATGGTATATCCTGCTTACTTTGAGTTTTTTGTTACTCGTTGGAACTTTGATTTTATAGATTTTGGTTAGCTTTAGCCCACTAGACAATTTAAGATTGCTCTTTTTTGTTTTCCCCTGAGACTTTGGCTATAGCTTTAGTATTTGTTCTTGTTGTTAGGGATTAAGTGTTGTTGTTTTTTTTAAATTTGTTTCTTTCCCAAACTGGACTTTTCTTAACAGTTTTAAAGGTAGGGAGAATTCTGTGAACTTGGAAACTGTTACTTTAGCCTAGGGAGCTTTAAAATAGCGTAACAATTTGAAATGGTAACTTTTTGGAGTAACAGTTGCTAAGTTTAATAGAAGGAAATGGGTATTCCCTGTTAGTTGTAGTGGCTCAGCCTCCAGATTCTAGACGAAAGGAGTAAGAGGTTAGGGGAGAATGAGCCATGCCTGAGACCAGACACCAGCTGGTTCCAGGATAATTTATTTCTGGGGAAATAATCTACTTCCCTCACAGGTTAGTTGTCAGCATGCATCAGGTAGTATTTATAGTTAGGTGTTAGCAAGGTAGAAAATTTCTGTGTTTTAATTTTTACCACTTTCTTGTAGGGCGTGAAAGTGTGGTAAGCAAATCAAGTATAATGTACAGTAGAGGCACATCTGCATAGTCAAGCTTCCAAGAGTAAACTCTTTTTTTGAGTCCAAACTCGCACTGGACAGAGAGCCCTAAAAATGAAGTAGGTTGCTTAAGCAAATTTTAAACCATAAACCTTTTTGACTAGTTCATTTCATGCAAAATTGTAAAGAAGTAATGAGAAAAGTCTTCAGTAGACTGAGGCAAAGAAAATTCACAGTGGCCTGTGTAAAAATGAGGATCAAAGAATAGTTGGATTGATTATTATAATATATTATCTCATTTAATCCTTATAATCCTGTGTTGTAGGTACTGTGATTACTGTCCTCCCTATTTTATAGGAATTAATGAAAACTAAGGTTAACTTATTTGTTCAAGATTTCTCAGCTAATGAGTTGGTTGGAGGTGTGAGTCACATCCAAGCAATCTGATTACCAAGCCTGTCTGGTAGTTATGCTTTACCACTACATTAAAAGTGGCTTCTTAGAGACTTGGTAGAAGGTGACTAATTATTGGAAAATAATACTGCAAAACCATAAACTGAATAAGGGTATTGTACTTATGCAGTAATACTTTGAGTTCATTGTACATTTGGTACTGTTGACTTTTGCTGCAGATGTAAGGATGGAGTTATCTTTCCTCTCTTTGAGGAACTTTGTTTAGTGGGAGAGAGATAGATTTGAACAAATGGTGATATATACTATAAGAGAATGCTGTGGAGCCTGTGGTTTCGTGGAAAGAGGATTCAATTGAATTTGAGACAAATCAGCATTTGAATTCCTGTTTGGCTTTGTGACCTTAAACCTGATACCAAACCTTTTTCAGCTTCAGTTTTCTTATCTGTTAGTGGGAGAGGATAATTACTTCAAAGGGGAGTGTTAAGCATTAAACAAAATATATAAGGTACTGGCATGTTGGAAAGTCTTGAATAAAGAAGAAAGAACAAATTTAAGAGACAGAGTAGAAAAGGGGTGTGGGGATTGAGCTGGGAGCTCTCACTGGATCTTTGCTTCCATCAGTAGGGAAGGAGGGCATTTTACACAGAATGGAACAGGAATATGATTGGTTGAAGAATGGCAAAAAATTATGGCGTTGTATAAAAACTATTCGTGAAGGTCTAATTAAATGGTAATTGTATATAAATGTGTCTGGGCAAGGTGAGTACTACCCAATTTTGCTGGTTGAAAATTCCATACGGAGATACTAAAATTATAGTAAGACCTCAGCCATTTGTACAGTGTTATATTTTATTTAATATTCACCTTTAATATCTTATTTTCAAAGTGTCAGTTAAAACTTCATTTTCAAACCTATCCACCTAAGCAATGATTTCACTGTTTTGTTGTGATATTTCATTCTAGCTGGTAAAGAAGACTGATGCCACTGGAGGAATTTGCACTTAATTCGTGGGAAGTATTTTGTGATTATTTTAAAAAGAAGAAGAATCTTAAAATGACTCTTGTCTTTCCCTACCCCCTTGACCTACTCGGTAGCCACATAGAGTCAGTATTGCATAGTACCCTTTGCATATATGTTGACTCTTTTCGAATCCAAACTCGAGACAAGACAGTAGGACAGACTATTTTAAATTGGGACTATCCTTGAAAATCTAAGAAAATGTCCCATGCTTATATTGAATATCTTCCCTTCAGGTTAGCACAGAGCTGTAAATATGTTATATTTATAAATGTGGATCACTTGATGACCAGAATCATATAACTTAAGTTGAAAATATTAAATAGCATTTAGGAAAGCTACATTCTAAAAAGTCCAACTTGTTAGCCTCATGCAAATTGCTAAAAATGACACAAAATATAGAAGTGAGTTTTCAGATGAGAAAAACCAACTACTTCCTAGAACAGGTAGTTTGAGAGTACTAGGAAATAAAATATGCTGGACTTCATTCTGAATAGTGAACAGGAACTGTGACAGGAAATGACTGTGGCTGAACCACCGCCTGATAATAATCATAACATGATTAATTTTGACATTTAATGAGAGGAAGTAAAAGGCGAAAAAGTGCACAGTATGCAGCTTTCCAGTTTCAGAAACAGTAGAGGAAAGGGTCTGTTAAAAGTATATAGAGAAATTTTGAAGATAGTAGGCACTCATATTTGTTGCATGAATAAAAGCACCTTACTAAATAAAACATTCGGTAAAAGGTCTATTTTTAAAAAATATATTTTATTGATTATGTTATTACAGTTGTCCCATTTCCCCCCTTCATTCCCCTCCACATCCTCTCCCACATTCCCCCCCTTTAGTTCATGTCCATGTGTCTTAAGTACTTTAGCTTTTACATTTCCCATACTATTCTTGCCCTCCCCCTGTCTATTTTCTGCCTGCCATTTATTCTACTTATTCTCTGTACCTTCCCCCCCCACTCCTCTGTTGCTAACCCTCCATGTGATCTCCATTTCTGTGGTTCTGTTCCTGTTCTAGTTGTTTCCTTAGTTTGTTTTTATTTTAGGTGTGGTTGTTAGTAATTGTGAATTTGCTGTCATTTTAGTATACATGTTTTTTATCTTCTTTTTCTTAGATAAGTCCCTTTAACATTTCATGTAATAAGGGCTTGGTGATGATGAACTCCTGGAACTTGACCTTATCTGAAAGCACTTTATCTGTCATTCCATTCTAAATGAAAGCTTTGCTGGATAAGAGCAATCTTGGATGTAGGTCCTTGTCTTTCATGACTTGGAATACTTCTTTCCAGCCCCTTCTTGCCTGTAAGGTGTCTTTTGATAAATCAGCTGACAGTCTGATGGGAACTCCTTTGTAGGTGACTGTCCCCTTATCTCTTGCTGCTTCTAGGATTCTCTACTTAATTTTGATCTTGGCTAATGTAATTATGATGTGCCTTGGTTCGTTTCTCCTTGGTTCCAACTTCTTTAGGACTCTCTGAGCTTCCTGGACTTCCTGGAAGTCTATTGCCTTTTCCAGATTGAGGAAGTTCTCCTTCATTATTTGTTCAAATAAGTTTTCCACTTGTTGCTCTTCTTCTTCCCCTTCTGGTACCCCTATAATTTGGATGTTGGAACGTTTAAAGATGTCCTGGAGGTTCCTAAGCCTCTCCTCATTTTTTTGAATTTGTGTTTCTTCATTCTTTTCTGTTTGGTTGTTTCTTCCTTCTGGTCCACTCATTGATTTGGGTCCCAGTTTTCTTCCCATCACTATTGGTTCCCTGTGTATTTCCCTTCATTTTGCTTAGTTTAGCCTTCATTTTTTCATCTAATTTGTTACTAAAATCAACCAGTTCTGTGAGCATCCTGATTACCAGTGCTTTGAACTGTGCATCTGAGAGGTTGGCTCTCTCTTGGTCGCTTAGAAGTACTGGCTCTGGGGCTTTGAGCTGTTTTTCTACTTGAACCATACTGTTTTGGTCTGTTTGGGCCTGTTATGTATGAGGTGTGGAGACTTAGGTGTTCACCAGGGTGGGGCAACCCAAGTCTTTGGGTTGTGACTCTGTATGTGGGGGCGGGGTCAGAGAGGGAAAAAAATGGCACTTCGCTCTGCTCTCTGTTGCA